ATGTACATCCTCGGCAGGTGGTTGGCATAGGCGGTGGGAGGAAGGCGCGATGGTGGTAGTGGTGTTGGCTCAGCGGGGAAGCATACCGAGCTCGAAGGCCTTGCCTTCCTCGAGGATCTAGACTGCTATGAGCGATTGCAGGCAGGGAGTTGTGGTAGCAGCGGCTCATACCTCTCCGCATCCCTTGCACGGATACACGACCTCGTCGTCGATCGGAGACTCTGGATAGCCGGTCGGGCTCTCCATGGCGGGCTAGAAATATGCGTGTCGGTGAAGCAGCAGGAGCAATGCTGGCGGGCAGCGCGAGGGCGGGCGTGCAGTCGGCGCCGGAGCCGTGTCGTGCTCGGAGGGACAATTGGCAGCTGGCAGGGCGTGGGCGTGTTCAGTGGTTCGTCGTCTGGGCGATCCCCAAAGTTGCTAGCACCACAGACTACAATGCAGACTACAGTGCAAGGCGAGGAGGGCGTGGGTGCCAACGGCGCAAAAGCAAAGGCGACGACCAGCAGCGGCGTCGGTGCACTGGCGAACGGCTTCTGTGCGCGACGAGGGCCCAGGGCAGTTAGGTTGGTCGACGAGACAGGCGCACCTCGCAGCGGCGTCGTGGTGGTGTGGAGGTGCAGAGCCAATGGGCGGGCTAGTGCCTGGTCAGGGTCTGGAAAGATACGCGGCAGACAAATCCATGCGGCGGCCACGACCAGGGGACCACGGCGATGTAAAGAGTGAAAGCCTAATCCAGCCTTGATAGACTTTTGATAGACTTGCTAAGCGCCTCTACCACGGCTGCCAGCATGTGCCGCACATGGGAACACGACCATGGAATTCCAAACACTCGCACGGCGCAGGCCCAAGGTGGTCAGCTTTCGAGACCGGGCTGCGACTCCAGCTCCACCGCGCTATTACGACGTCTGCAGAGGCCCTGCCAAGCACACGCCATCGCAGATCGTGCGCTCCAGGGCCCCTTCCTCTGACAACGGCCCGTTCACTGCACAACTGACCACCCTAGGGCTATCATTTGTAAACGCCGGCACTCGTGAATCGCCTCTTGATTCAGGTAGTCTCTTTGTACCAGTCCTCAGCCCAGCTCACACCGCGCGTGGCGCATGTAGCTCTGAACCTCCTGTCTTTCTGACCACCTCCAAGACGCCATGTGGTCATCACCCGCATCACGAGCTCAATTAATAATATCGCTTCTCCCGCACTAATTGGAACTCATCCCTCAATCCTCCCAATCCTCAAAATAGCTGACGCAATCTGAGCCCTTTCCCCTGAAGCGCCTCCATCAGCACATGCCCGTCATCTGCGCTGCACACATGTCTAGCATTAGATCATGCAGGAACGCGGCCGCTTTCTTGACCTACCAATACATTAACAATTCGCAGCCAGATAAATATTCGCACAGCTTACAATATCATCCGCTTGTTTCAGAGTCCAATGCCGGGTCAGCGCACCATCCTATCGGAAAGTGCGGTCGCCCTCGAGAGATTGAAGGACGCGTTCATTCCCCGCAAAACACCCGTGTCTCTATTTCGAACACGCTCGACGTCCAGACGCTAGTTAGGCCCTATCATACCGCCTGTGCTCACCAGAGCCAATGTTGCACAGGAACCACGCCATCAACATCTCGTTCGTTGGACTCCTGAGCATTTCCACTCAGCCGATCCTCGCGTGCATCCATCGCCAAGGTACCCAACTACTTTGCATCATCCTATACACGTCGGAAAATACTTACCAATCGGCATTTGCTCCCCTCGGAATCCTTCTGCCACGATCCTGAAACAAACGGGAATAACGAGGCGCACACAGACACGTTTCATCGATCCGAACCACCCTGCTGATCTGCCCGCCTCGAGAGTCAGCGCCCAACCGCGATTCGCGCTCGACCATTAACAACGCCTCTTCTACCCGTACGAGGCATACTTCCAGACAACACCAGGCACCACGTATCACGCATCCGAAGACAGTTGCCGCACGTCTGTCTCATCAACGCCTGTCGCAACACCAAGGCTGTTTGACATGTGTCGTCGTGCCACCTACACAGCTTTACCTCGGATGCTTGTACCGTCCGCTGCGGTCCGCCACTACGTTTGATCACCACCTGAAAATTCAGGCAACCAGGCTCTGCCTTGCCTCTGTGTTGACTCGAGTTCGGCTGCCGCTGCCCGTCTCAACCTTATCTTCATCGCTGAGCGGGTCTCGATCAACCTTATTGAGTCAGTATCATAGTACCCTACCTTTGGTACACGATTAAGTTTACCAGCCCGTTCGGCAGCATGGGTTACCATATGACTGGTTCCAGAGAACTTATCGATTTGTTAACTTAGATATCGTGATATACTAAGGTTCGTCAAAAGTCCGAAGCAGGTCTGAGACTGAAATAGATATACTTCCACATCCCCTGCAGTATCAACTCCTACTGCACGATCATCATACCTTTGCGCGTACGCTGCTGTATTGTCACATTAGCAAAGAGTGCCACTAGGAACAGCTGTGGAAGTATCATGTTGTGGTGGTGCCTTCCAAACAGAACGTCGTAATGCCAAGCACCTCGTCTTGAGCAACACCAACGCTAACAGGCAGGAACGACAACCTTGGAAGTTCCGCAACATTAGCCGGTCACTTCCTCGAATCACGCTCTCTCGCGGTGATATTTCAATTACACGAGCATGTGTGGTCCTCAATTTTCCCGTCTGGTGGGTCGGTCCTTCTTGCTAATGATGTATTACTGCGCAGAGCTGCGTCCCAATTAGGCCTACTAATGCAGGACCCTGTCACCACATACCGTTCTCACGAATAAAATACTCCGCGGTGATGAACACATGGGTCCGGACGCGGTACAATACAGTGGGTCCTTCTGTATTCGAGCACTTCATATGCAGACAGCAAGAGCTACCCCGCCCCAACGGATGACTGAGGATATTCGTGGACGAGGTGGCGGGGCACATTGGAATATTTAAACCTCTCCTCTAACCTGCCCCTTCTCTTTTCTTTTTCCTACAACAGTTTAAACGTCTTTGCAAAGTCCAAGTTATTCAGTATCCGTACTCATCCACTGCTTCAAGGTACTCAAGCGCAATGGCTAACCCCCATGCAGATACTCGTCACGACCAAGTATGGCAGCCACGATGCAGAACATGTTCCGCACGTGGGCGTTGTCCTCAAGTCACATAGGTACTTTTACAGCTAAGTATACTGCATGAACCGGTGTTCGTTTCTAGCAGTGTCCGTCTTCCATGCTATGGTAGTGCCTCTACTTCAGTGTGGCAGTCGGGCCCTGCTGGATTCGTTCTGAGATTATACGGTTTCGAACTTGATCAGGATAATACCTGCGAAAAGGATCATGCTCTGCTCTGTCTCTCCCTGCGTGGAACAGACTTAACAATTCGCAGATTTCGACCCTTGAACCCCTTTCAACATGTCTCCCCCCGCTGCCATTTTCGAAACTCCCGTTGCTAGCAACGACATGGGCATCAAAAAGGATCTCGCCGTCAAGGCTGCCTTCAACGGCCAGGCCAAGACTGTCGCTGAGCTCGAGAACAAGTGGGAGAAGTTCACCTTCGCCCCTATCCGCGAGTCGCAGGTGTCTCGTGCCATGACCCGCCGCTACTTCAACGACCTTGACACCTACGCTGAGTCGGACATTGTCATCGTCGGTGCGGGTTCATGCGGTCTGTCTGCCGCTTACACGCTCGCCACCAAGCGTCCTGACCTCAAGATTGCCATCGTCGAAGCTGGCGTTGCTCCCGGTGGTGGTGCCTGGCTCGGTGGCCAGCTCTTCAGCGCCATGGTCATGCGCAAGCCTGCGGAGCTCTTCTTGAACGAGATCGGCGTCCCCTACGAGGACGAAGGTGACTTCGTCGTTGTCAAGCATGCCGCGCTCTTCACGTCCACCTTGCTGTCCAAGGTCCTGCAGTTCCCCAACGTCAAGCTGTTCAACGCGACGGCTGTCGAGGACCTCATCACCCGTCCGGCTCCTACCTCCAGCGACCCCAACGCCGTCCGCATCGCTGGTGTTGTCACCAACTGGACTCTCGTCTCTATGCACCACGACGGTATGCTCTAGCCTTCCTTTCTTTTTCTCGGCTCTTACTAATTGTTTACAGACCAGTCTTGCATGGACCCGAACACCATCAATGCACCTCTTGTCATCTCAACCACCGGCCACGACGGCCCATTCGGCGCTTTCTCCGTCAAGCGCCTCGTGTCTATGCAGCAGATTGAGAAGCTCGGTGGCATGCGCGGCCTCGACATGCGCACCGCCGAAGATGCCATTGTCAAGCGCACCCGCGAGGTTGTGCCTGGTCTGATCGTCGGCGGCATGGAACTCAGCGAGGTTGATGGCGCCAACCGCATGGGACCTACCTTTGGCGCTATGGCTCTCAGCGGTGTCAAGGCAGCTGAGGAGGCCGTCGGTGTCTGGGATGAAAGGAACGCCCAGAACAAGGACGCTTAGATGCCATGATCGGCTTCGTCGGACAAAGAGAAGGCTGTCATTACCTAAACCCGTAAAGATCATCTGTACAATGAAATGAATCGCTCGCTCATTATCTGTTGTTGTTTTGACTCGGCTCCTCTCGAAACGTTAATGCTCTTGTTCTAGTGCAGCCCGCGCATCCGGCGCAACGGCCTATCACTTTGTCATGGCTGGCCCCGCTTGAGTGATTTACGGTGGTGTTGTCGCGCTTTATGACGTGGCAAAGAAGGAAGTTTCGGGCAGGCCATCTGATGTACAATGTGACGTGAAGATCAAAGCAGCCTTGCAATTGGAATAAGCGACACGTCCTGACCAGCTGTTCGCATTCATCTGGAAGCTTCGAGGGTGGATCGCCGTGCGCCCCTGGGGTAGCGGCAGTGCGGCATGTCAAGCGCACGGTTGCTCGGACACTGGTCTAGCGTGAACGGGGATGGCTGCCCGCCGTAAACAACTCTCATAACATATACAAACCACCCCGCCTCTACCGCTGCCGGATTATTTTGCGACAAAGGGCCAATTTGCGCCCACGATGGAGAAAGAGACGTCGGACCTGCTCAAGGCACTCCAGAAGCCGTCGACCGATGTCCAGTCGCGCCTGGCCCTGTTCAGCACGCTCAAGTCGAGCATCAAGCACAACCGGGTCCCTGAAAGTTGTCAGGCTCCTATCTTCGAGTGCATCCGCATCGCCTGCACCGCCGCCACCTCGGCCGCGCTCGTGTCCACGGGCTTCTCGACGCTGAGCCACTTCATCAAGCGCCTGCAACTGCAGAAGGAGACGTCGATTCTTACGTCACAGTCGCCCATACTATGTTCCATCCTCGCCGACAAGTTGGGCGATGGGCGCGAAAGCCACCGCAGCGCCGCCTCGCAGATTCTGGCCGACCTGCACTACCTGTGCTCCATGGAGATTGACGCGCTGATACACGATGCCATCAAGAGCACGAACCCGCGCGCCAAAGAATCCGCCATGTTGTGGGTGGTCAAGGTTGGTCCCCCGTAGCGCATCGGGCAGGCGCGAAAATGTTCTAACGCTTGGGTGACGATAGATGAACAAGAGCGAAGGGCTCCCTTTCAAGAGCTACTCCAACCAGCTCGTGGCAAACTGCGAAGACGCGGATCCCGCCGTGCGCGACACGGCGAAGAAGGCGGTTGTGGAGCTCTTTGGGTACGTCCATTGGCGGATATGCTGCACCATGGTAGCAACTGACATCACGATAGACACGCTCCGGAACACGCCAAAGCCAACCTTAAGAAGCAGCTCGTGGCCCTGAATGTCCGGAAAGCCATTGCCACCTACATCACCTCCCACCTCGACGACGACGCCATGGCTAAGAGCGTGGATGTCGCGCCTGCCCAACCGCCCGCCCCCGTCGCCCGACCCATCGTATCCAAACGCGCCCAGACGCTGCAACCCGACGTCGGCTTGGCAGAGAGCTTTGCGGATGAGCAGCCTCCCCCGGTCGAGGTTGTCGTCATGGACCCCATACACATCTACACACAGCGCGAGCTCGACGACGTGTTCCGCGACATGGCGCCCTGCTACGAAGGCAAGGAGAGCGAGGGCAATTGGCTGGCAAGAGATAAGAACTGCACAAAGTTGAGACGTATACTCAAGGGCAACGCGCCTCATGAGTTCCACGCAACTTTCATCGCCGGCATCAAATCGCTCCTAGACGGTATCCTCAAGGTCGCCAACTCGCTTCGAACAACCATGTCTACCAACGGCTGCCTGCTGGTTCAGGAGCTTGCAAAGACACTCGGCTCTGCGATCGACCCCTGGGTTGAGATTCTCCTGCAATCTTTCATCAAGATGTGCGGTGCTACGAAGAACATCGCAGCGCAGAACGGAGCCGTTACAGTAGACACCATTTTCCAGAGCGTGTCGTATAACAGTCGCGTATTGCAGCACGTAGCCATGGCCTCACAAGACAAGAACGTGCAACCCCGAACCCACTCTGCCACCTGGGCTAAAACTCTGATCAAGAGGCACACCTCACACATCGAACATTCAGGAGGGCTGGAAACATTGGACACCTTGATCCGAAGAGGTGTCACGGACGCTAACCCCAAGGTGCGTGAGGCCTACCGAAGCGCCTACTGGACGTACGCTTTAGTATGGCCTCAGAGGGCCGAGAAGTAAGTTTGACTACGTGGAGGCATCATCAGTCACTAACACAGATTCCAGGATGTTCGATACGCTCGACAAGCGAGAAAAGACCGCACTCGAAAAGGACCCCAACAACCCGAACGGCTCAGCCCCCTCGTCCACGACAAGCGCAGCTTCGTTTTCGAAATCGATAGGCCCGGGCGCCTCGCGGAGTGCCCTGAAGGAGAAGATTGCTGAACAGAGGAGAGCAAAGCTAGCGGCCGCGAAAGGTGTCCCCGAACGCCCCAACTCTGCTGCTGCTAGTTATACACCAGTGCCAACATCGCAATCGGCCAAGTCTTTGGGCGCGAGAACAACGTCGAACCTTTCCACGGCTTCTTCGGGTCCGGCGCGACCACCCTCTGCCATGTCCGGAGAGTCAACGAAGTCAGCGCTGAAGAACTCCACAGGTACCGGCTCCTTGATGTCGGGCACAGTCCGTCGGCCGGTCCGCCGACCAGAGTTGAACCGACCAGCGACCGCGGATCCATATGCTGTCCGACGACCAGGAAAGAGCACGCCCAACATGACTCCAGAGAAGACACCTGCTCCAACGGCGACCAAGAAGCCTGCTGTACCGAAGAGCAGCTCAAGGCCGCGTGCGCAAACACAGAATAGCCCGCAAGTTAGTCCGGCGCGGCCCAAATCAAGGATTGGCCAACCCATTGCCCATGGCAAGTCTCCTAGTGCGAGCTCTCGTCGCGAGAGCCCGGCTGTGAGCCCAGCAAAAGAGGAGGACCTATCGATGGTGAAGCCTTGGGTTCGATCACAAAGCCAGCATGACGCAGGTACCATACCGTTTCGACAAAGGAACGGCCTGGGTGGAAGTGTAGCTGGAGACGATGAGGCTGTGGATGTGGGAGATGAAGACAACTTTACCATGGTCATTCCTAACCTTGCGAAACCAACGACACAATCCACACATGACACGCCACCGAAGCCGAGAAAGTCCATCGGTCGACTGCCGATACCCAGCCCTCGTGCTGCAGCGCTAAGAAGTCCAAAGTCTATGGGGCACCTAGACAGCGCTAGCCTACGGTCTTCGACACGCAGCCCACGCCTGAGGTCACCAGATCGACCAAGCACTCGCGGTACCGACGCCGGAGACGAAGTACAAGTGTTTGAGGATCCATTTGTTGGCGAGGAGCACACACGTGTCGAGAATGGATCAGAAAAGCCGGTCCTCGAGGAGCTTCCCATCAACGAGAAGAGCAACGAGCGCCGCCAAAGTACTGGAAGCATGACAAGCGATGTCATGATGGGTAACGATAACGAAGAGCGCCCTCGCGGCCACCACAAGACGAACAGCACAGGAAGCGTCCTGCACACACAAAGCTACGAGACAAACGATGCTGAAGTGCTGAAGAACCGACAGCTGCTCACAAGCGGCATCAAAAAGATTGAAGGACGCACAGTCGAAGCCCACATGTTCCGCCGCATGCAGGACATGGTCAAGTCGAACCAAGAAATCTGGGGACCAAATGACGAGAACTTTGGCAGGCTATTACTGGCATGTCTGGATTTCCTTGAGGCACCCGTCCACGAGTTGAAGGCGCCTCAGATGAAAGCTGTCAATCTAAAGGTACAGGCTCTAGCAACAATTCGCGCGTTGCTATCCCTCTACCGCAAAGAGACTTCGAAGTACTACTCCCGCGTCCTCCGCACTATCCTGCAAACAAAGGCACAGTACGAAAGCACATCTCACATCGCTATCGACCTCGAAGCGACCGCAGATGAGATTGTCAAGTATGGACAGACTCTGGATTGTCTCAATACTGTCCTTGCGATGATCGAAGACACACCCGCATCGACGCCAACATCCTCGCCAAACTCCAAGTCCTCAGTCTCTTCCCAACCGGGCCAAGCGTCGACTCGCTCCACAACCATGGCCTTGACCACACTCGCATCCCTCGTGCAGATGAGCGGCGCCAAGAACGTCACACTGTCCGCCGAACAGACTGCGCGTCTAGGCAGACTAGCCGTACGCTGCATGGACGACCAAGACGCCGACGTACGCAAAGCAGACATCGAGTTCTGCATCGCCCTCCACGAACGCATCAACGGCTCCGACGGCGCAAAGGAAGACGGCGGCTTCTGGAAAGCTGTTGCCGGCGCGAGGGAACAGCACTTGAACCTCTTGACATACTACCTTGCCAAGAAGGCTAAGGCCTAGGTGGCTGTCCTTCCTTTGCGATTGAAGCGTTTGGCTTGATCGAGCCTGCACAGTTAGCGCTCTGTATTAGCACTTGGAATGTCTCGTTTGTTGGAACTGATTGGCGGTTAGGAACATTGGCATCTCCTATGTCACTCATTCATCTTGGTCTGGCGTTTGACCTTTTGTGGCTTTTGTTTTCCTTGAAGGCGTTTTGAGAAAAGCGGGATCGCTCCGGTAGTCAGTCACTTTTCATCAACGTCTTGAATTCGTTACTTTCTAGCCTTGTTCTTTGTGGGGCAGTAGGGTCTAGGGCTGGGAATTGGTAGTTGAGATATGTAATTCTATGCAACTTTTTCTTCTTCTTAAATGCATGTTTTCTTTTGATGGGAGTACTGTTGAAACCGAAAAGTTCGAAACTGATAACTTGTAAGATGATTTGTTAAAGGCAAGCGCGAAAGCTAAAAGGATTCGACGATATCGTGTGGGCAGCACCTGCCACCCCGATTTCCCCGGCTAGCGCGTGACGCGGACCCACATCGAACGCGTCGAGCTCACCTGGGCAGGGACGCATCGTTTTCCTCATCACCGTTTACGAGCCTGACGCTATACATCAATTCCTTCCGCGATATCTTCCACGTCAGATAATCAAGCCTTCACAGCATGATGCATATGGCTCATCTTCGTGGTCTCGTGTTCGATATAGGCACCAGTAACGCTAACGTCATCCTCTGGACGGTACGTGCCTAGGCCCTCCAACGGTGCGTACTTCTCGCATAAGTACAACATGTCGTTGTAAGCTCTGGAAATCGTTAGCTAGAGTCTACACTGCCCCAGATGAATACTTACGTAGCTCTCGAAATACTACCCGGATGGCCCGCGGAATCGTTCAAATATATATGGATACTGTAAAGTCGATTGCGGTCGTCCCACTCATCTACAGGCTCGGACGGTTCGATATGGCGCTGATACAATCGCATGTATATCGGAGAATTGAAGTGACAGGCCCAAGACGCTCTCCACGTGCCAAATTCCATCTCATTATGGGCATAAATACATCCGGGGTCGAACAGGATTGTGTCGCCAGTTTCCATGTCGATGCCAACATTCTGTTCCCACAAATCGCCGTGGATCAACACTGGCTCGATACTTCGACCATCCGACTGGAGAGCACCTAGGAGTCTTGGAATAACGACAGCGATCACCTGCTTGCAGGCAGCATCGAACTCTGGCCAAGGACCGTTGGTCTCGTTGTCATATTTGATCACATCGTTGAGCAAATTGGTAAAGCACGCCGCCCAGGTCTTCTCCCATTTCGTCGTGCGTACAAACTTGCCGCACACTGTTGGTACGTGGAATCCGAACATGCCATTTGGAGATTTTCCTTCGATGTGCATTTTGGCAACTCTCTCCACAAGGCTTGCCGGTTCTGGGGCTGGCACGAGGTCCATGTCGTGATGGTTCCCAAGGAAGAAATAGACCTGGGTGCTACCATCTAGATACTTTCCCCATCCTGTCGCTCGAGGAACCAGACCTGGAACTATCTCGTTGATAGCGCATGCGGATTCGTACTCGCCTTCGACAAGAGCCTTTGAGCCCTGGCCGGTGGCGCACTTTGTGTTGCAACGATATGTTAGCAAGTACAAATACCTTTTACTCTACCACGACATACTTTGAGGAAGTAGGTCTTTGAACTTTGGTCCGGGAGTATCACGTCAATCTTTGCTGTCTTCGTCCAGGCAGAAACACCGCAAGGCTCTGCAGATATGATCCTGGTACCGCCAGGCATAGCTAATGAGTAGTGCTTAGTGTACGAAATCTGAAGTCGGGGTTGTAGGAACGCCTACCTCCGGTCACAGCCCGGTGAATGCGGAACGTCCTTCCTATTTCGGTTTCCCATTCTAATGCATCCATCATGGCGGATGTGAAAGACTAGCACACGACTACTGGTAGGGGACCCCGCACTTATGATATATCGGCTCTCGAATAGCAGAGGCAAGAGCTGATGGAAGCCTTGTATGCGGGTACGTTATCTTCTGCTTACGTTGGATGCTGAGATGGTGGCATGGGAGCAGCTTCGGTGTTCACCGCACGTAAGATGATTCGCGGGTCGGCAGCCACGAGCGGGACGTCGCTCCCGCCCTTAATCATTATCGATAAATCCGCCTCCCTTCCGGTTCCAAAAGACGTCACTTTACAGGCATCCATTTGATGGACCCCAGGACTGCGCCCTAATTGACAGGGCTGCGCGACTTTGATTAGCTGTGTTGACACTCCCAGACGAACAAACACTACCCCGCATGCAGCCCCCAACTTGAACGGCGACTGAGATGCATGCCACATGCGACCGGTCAGCCCTTTGAGGCTCAGACATCGCACGCAAGTAAAGTATCTCTAAGCACGGCTGTCGCGTATCCAAAGATGGTCGAGCAACTGTTCGCGACAACCTTTGCCCGGGATGGTAAGTGCTATTGAACGAATGTCCAGATCGCACTCTTAACAATTGTATAGTTCTCGAGACCCTTCAGTTTCCGAAATCTGGGCGGGAGAAGCCGGAGGAGAGAATCAGGCGTTGTCGACCCGTTGCTCCTGCCAGACCAGGAAGATGATGTTCGCTACTCGACAACTCCTTCGCCGTCCCAGATGTCCGCGTCCCCCACTCACATGGCTTTGACTGGTGGCCAAGACCCTGGAGCTTTGGGATTGAACGTGGTATACACGCCAGACAATGGACATAAAGCCGACATCGTCTTTATCCATGGACTTGGTGGCAGTAGCCGTATGACCTGGTCGAAGCACAAAAGCCCTGGACTCTTCTGGCCCTTGACCTTCCTGCCACTCGAGCCAGATATCTGCCTCGCGAGAATCCTGAGTTTCGGCTACGATGCCGATTTCACAAATGGCAGTAATGCTACTAACGTGATATTGGACTTCGCCAAAACCTTACTGTACAATCTCAAATATTACACAGATGTACAAGGCGAAAATCTGAATATGGGCCAAGTGAGGCCACCTTTCTTTACAACGTTGCTTTTGCTAAAGCGCATCTTAGGTACCTTTACTTTTCGTAGTTCACAGCATGGGTGGACTCATCGTGAAAGAGGTAACACCATCCGTCGGTCTGCACGTACCTGACTAACATTTTACAGGCCTATATGCAAGGTCAAAACGATCCAGAGTACGAGAACATTGTCAAAGCCATTTCAGCAATCATCTTCCTGTCCACCCCACATCGGGGCACCAATTTGGCCAATGTGCTCAACCGAATATTACAGTCGACTCCTGTAACGAATTCCAAGCCTTTCATTTCTGAGCTGACGCGGAATTCGTCTACGTTGCAGAAGCTGAATGAACAATTTCGTCACATTGCACCCAAGCTAAAGATCGTTTCCTTCTACGAGACACAGCCGACTTCGATCGGGCCGAAGAGTGCGCGAGCGCGAGTGGTGAGTGACCTATTTGCACATGTACAACTTTAGCTCCACTGCTAACATGCGAAGATGGTGCTAGAAAGGGATTCGTCGCTGCTCGGATATCCTGGAGAGACGTCCAACCCTCTGAACGCAGACCACCACGGTGTCTGCAAGTATGAGAGCCCTCACGACCCGAACTATATCACAGTGAGGAACGTTCTCAAATCACTCGTGAGCAAGTCAATATCGAAGAGTCAATCTGGAAGCCAGAGCGCACCGAGAAGGAGACGATCAAGGGATCTCAAAGCCATACTAGCTATCGCCGAGTTCCCCAACACCGACTACATCTTCTTCCGGGACCAATGGGTGCAGGGTACTAACCAATGGATTCATGGAGAACAACGCTTCGTGGATTGGCTTAATCCTCACACATCCTCTCATCAAATACTTTGGCTGAAGGGGGCCGCGGCACGAGGAAAGTCGGTCTTAAGTTCGTTCATCATCAACAGCCTGATCGAGCGCGATTTCTGCTGTCAATACTTTTTTGTGCGGTTCGCAGATAGAAGAAAGCGCACTCTGAGCTTTCTCCTACGCTCAATCGCCTATCAGATTGCGCAACAGTTACCTGAATTTCTGCAAAAGGTAGCGGAGGTTGAAAGCGAAGCCGTCGACTTTGAGGCTGCAAACCCGAGGACGATCTGGGATCGAATATTCAGATCCATATTGTTCAAGCTCAGTCCTGGGAAAACACTTTACTGGGTCATCGATGGCCTTGACGAAGCTGATAATCCCAAAGCCTTGATAGACCTGCTCTCTGACATTGCTGGTTCTGCGACACCTATCCGAGTCCTTTTGGTCAGTCGCGACACTACAGAGATAGCTGCTGGTCTGGAGCATACACCAAACACAATCTTCCAAGAGACGATCACCATCGAGGGCCATTTGGATGACTTACGTTGCTACATTGATCGGGAACTAATCTTGCCTGGTAGCAAGGGCTTCAGGGATGATATTATTCAGCGTATTTTGCATGAAGCGCAGGACAACTTCCTCGTAAGTTTGATATCCAGTACCATGCCATGAGGTTGCTAACCTCTCAGTGGGTACGACTCGCTGTAGAAAAGATCAACTCGTGTCATACGCTCTCCGCCGTCGAGCAAGCTTTCCACGAATTTCCTCGTGGAATGGAAGCAATCTATGACCGGATGGCTGTTACCATTGCCGAGCACCAATCATCTGCTGACACTGCTCTAGCGTCAGCCGTTCTTCAGTGTGTCACATGTGCATTCCGCGCTCTCACAATAGAGGAGCTCTTGCAGGCACTAGAAGGTGACACACATGAGTTTCTAGACATTCAAGAGTCCATCAAGAATGTCTGTAGCGGCTTTGTGGTCATTGACAATGATGGCAACGTTGCGATGATTCATGAAACGGCTCGAGAGTATCTGCTTGGCGCTGTCCGCCGACCTTTCCAAGTAGATCGACGTCAGGCACATGAGCAGTTATTCTTAAGCTGCATGCGATGTCTCATGTCTAGCGGCCTTCGATCAAAGGTTACTCATGACATCCCGGACTTCGCAAGCTACAGCTCGAACTGGTGGTCATCTCACTTGGCAGCAGTTCCAGCCGGCAGTGAAGCCGTGGCTAGTGTTATAAACAGATTCCTGACAGGCCATTGTGTACTGACGTGGATACATATACTAGCAACTGAACTTCGACTTCGCATACTCATTCAGGCGTCGAAAAACCTGCTCGGCTATGTCAACAAGAGGAAATCTCAGCTTTCAGTCAATATCGGAAGGAGCGACGTAGTGGAACTGGAGCAGGCCGAAACCTGGGCAGTGGACTTTGTCAAAATCATTGGCAAGTTCGGCGCCATCCTGCGACGCAACCCCCCTACAATACACAAAACTATTGCTCCTTTCTGTCCGCACAACTCAGCTATCTATCAGCAGTTTGGTAGAACAGAGCAAAGGAGTCTGATGGTTTCCGGGATTTCGACACAGACATGGGACGATTCTCTCGCACGACTATCATTTGGGTTTGGTACCTATGCCTCTTCTATATCGACTGCGGGAAATTATGTCGCTGTGCTGGCCGCTTCGGGAAAAGCGTCTTTGTTCGACACCTCCCTCTTTGAGGAGACAGCGACCAGTCCCATCAGACACGGTGAACGTACATACATGATGCAACTGAACTCTTCCGGGACATTGCTCGTCACATATGGCTACATGACTACAAAGATCTGGGAAATCTCTACTGGAGAATGTCTATCGACAGTACCGAACCCTGCAACACGAACGCGGCCACTTGTCATCGCCTTTGTGAACAATAACAGAACGTTGTTAGTTGGGTCGGACGATAAGCAGTTGCGTTCGCTCGATATCAACGAGCAATCGCCGACTTGGAATCTTGTCGCAAATTTTGAGGAAGAGGAACTCAAAGGCCACTTCTTGAACGCCGCAAGCTACATGGCACTTAGCAGTGACGGCAGTTTGATAGCAATTGCATACCGTGGTCATCCGCTATCCGCGTGGGAAGTGGAAGGCCCTTATCACGTTGGCCACTGCTGGCGCGCCCGGAAAGAAGTTGCAAGAGGTGAAGTCGCTGCAGCAAAATGGCTCCCGCATCCTCCGCAAGTCCTGGGACTATACAATGACGGGGTAGTCTTTAGGTGGGATCCATATGGAGGCGAGCCCGAAGAGATCTTCACGGGCGCTTCAGTACTCACCGTTAGCGGAGACGGAAATCTATTCGCAACGGGTGATGTACGGGGTGCGGTCAAGATATATACCACCAAAACCTTCCACCTGATTTACCAACTTGCATCTCAAGACGCCATCCTCGGCTTGGCGTTCAGCGCTGATCACAGACGCATCTACGACGTGCGAGGCTACTACGGAAACACCTGGGAGCCTGCAGCACTAGTGCGATATGCGGAGAGTGCGATAAAAGGAACGGATACCGAAGGCGAATCTGAAAGCTCTTCGCAAGAGTCGATAACGCCTATCCATACTTCCCGGAGGATAGATGCGATC